AACAGCAGTTTTCTAGTTTTGGTTTCCAACCTTTCCTCTAGGAACTAAGACATCACAGTGGATTATCAAAGCACACGAGTGTTTCCTTCCAAAGAGAAAGTATTTACAATCAACTCAGACGACTTTTTTTTTTTCTCCTCTGCCAGCAGCAAATGCCCGAGGGCCCCTACAGCTTCGCAAATCATAGAAGTTCTTCAAAAATTTAACAAAATAATTCAAACCATATCTGCTAGGGAAAAGGACCACTGGTGGCAGGGCACACAATACACCCCGGTCTCAGCTATTTTCCGCAGGGTCACGAATTCGGGCTGCACGGAGAGAGCCGAGGCAGACCAGTAACCTCCAGTCCTGCCTCCAGCGCGTGCTTCTACACGGAGCTCGAGCCCCAGCGGTGGGACAGGGGAGACCAGAGGGAGGAATCCCTGGGGCGTGCCCGAAAAGGAGAGCACGGTTGGTCCTGCCAGGTTCCAAGATCGCCGGCCCAGGCACACGCTCTCCCTCGGGTGGGTGCCGCCGAGGGTGCCGCACGGCCGGCGGGAGGTCAGAGCCGATGGTGTTTGCATGCAAGTCCGAGCAGCCACCGCTTCCCGGCAGAAGACGAGCCAGCAGCTCGGGGGAGCGATTCCTGGAACCAAGAGGCACTTAAACCAATTCTTAAGTTTACCAATTTACTGCAGACGACGAGAGGAATCCTGACTACCCACCCCCAGAATCCTATTCACATCAGCAAAAAGCACCAACCCCCCCCCAGCTTTGGTACAGTGGAACAAAACGGGAGAGGGGTATTCTAGCTGTACTGTAGAGCTGCTGCTTTTCACACCGATACTGTATCATCCCTGATAATTCAAAGTAAGGCTGGATGGACTGACCCCAACCACCACCCTTGGCAGCACGTTTGGTCCAAAACCCCAGAGTAATTGTTCTGCTCCCTCCCACCCTGACATTTTCATTGTTACCCTTGAAGATTAAAGTCAAAACGATAGCATACATAAATAAAACTCAAGAGTTGACATAGTAACTCCAGGCTTTAGATATCAACTGTCCACGGAATCAGAATACCAAAGCTTTGAAACGCGCCAAACGTTGAGTTTTGCCAAGGGGGGAGGAAGGAAGAAGCTTTAAGTTTAAGCCTTCAGAGCATCGCTGAATCAGTAGATCAGTTCACAGCCACCACAGTCTGTAGATGGGCATCTCTCTGTCCTGAAATAAACAAGTGCTTCGTCCTCTTAACGTCGAAGGTAGCCACGGACAGTTACAGAATGGACGCACAGGACCTTGACTCTGACCAGCAGGGAAATTTAGGACAACTGAGTGCAGACGCTGCCAATTTCTACCAGTTCAACTGTGCTTTAAGACTCATTGCAAAGCCTCAGCTAGAAAAAGGATCACCTCCGGGTATCCAATAAAATATAGAGTTTTAACTTCTTTTTTTTTTTTTTTTTTTTTAAACCTTGAGACTATGCAGTTCAGCTGTCAATCATTTCAGAAAGTTCCAGGAGGAGGTCATCCTCATCCTTCCCTGGGTCCAGGTCAATTTCTGCTTCCAGTTTGCCTCCTGAGATTTCCCAAATAAGCTTCTCAAAGTCATCTTCTACAGACAAGGGTGCTTTCCCAGCCCCCGTGGAGCTCAACCGGCGCGTCTTTACCGCTACTTGTGAAGAAGTTGAAGTTGAGCTTGAGACCTCTGACTGTGCCACAGAATCTGCCTGGCTTCCAATATGCAGTTCAGGACTTGGAAGAACAAGAAAGAGAGCAAATCAGCGTATGACATCCTGTAACCAGAGAGATGTTTTCTGCAAGCCAGCTCTTAAAGCTGTAGTTAATCCCTCCTACAGCTCAACCTCACACAGGGATTGTTACTCAATTAACCTGGGGCTGCTTTTAGAGTCCAATGTATTAGCAGGTACATTTTTCAGTTTGGGGATTTATCCAGGAAGACAGAGCATCCGGGGTCTGGCAAAGAAGGTTCAATTTTTGCAGCCAGAGACACTTTGCCACCTTTACTAATTTGACTGTAAAAAGGTTAAGAAGTCAACCTCTGCAGGCATTCAGAAAACCCAAGTCGTCACTGAAAAGCTGTACCAACTTGCAGCATTTTAAGAAAAGAATCTAAATAAGCATCCCTGCTAGCTGCTAGAAAATCATTTCAGATGAATTGGTCCTTTGTTGGATTTTGGCCATTAATTATCACAAAACTCAAATTTTTCCACGTGTGAAAAAACCCCTTACGTTTCACGTGAAAGACACACTGATCAAGAAAAAGAACAACTTGTGGCCATTACCTGGCTTTGTGTTT